TTCCGGTTTGAGGCTTGTCGCCGTCGTTTGTTTCTGTTAGTCGCTGTAGTGGGACTCGGCCATAAGCCAGTACCATGTGCTGAACATGAAATGAAAAAACGACTGTATTGAACTTGATTCAATTTAGCAGCATCATTTGCAAGCCGACCACACAATAAATACAACAGCTCGCACGAAAATTACTGAGCAGCTTTATTATTCGTGAGGCACTACATCCCAAACAAAGAAGCAGCCACATTTTTCTGCACACAGCACCGAAAATCGGAGATGTTGGTGGGCTGTATGCCACAAAAACATCCTTCGAATGACAACATAGGGTTCTTGGGAGTAGTTTGTAAATTCCCCGTATAGCCAAGACTGAATTACCAGAGTATTCCCTCCTCCCTCCCTGGTTTACACTGCATTTACACCGTTTTGCCAAGCTTGGCTGACCACTGAACTGCCAGCCTGGCCCAGGCTTGTTTTACATCGTATAGCCCAACTTGACTAGACAAGGAACCCCCACAGAACTGCCGGGCCTCCTAGCCAGGCTGGGGCTGCCTAGCGCCATGGGGAAAAACATTCTAGGCCCAGTGAAACTTCCCCGCCTCCCCAGTCTGGCTCAAGCTTGAGCCGGTCATAATGTGCTGCCTGGGAAGGCGTTAGTTCAAAAATCCTTTTCTTTTGCTTTTTATATGGCTTTACTTTGGTTTGTCACATAATTGCCAAAGTGCCAGACTTCACCAAAAGATGACACACCTCAACAGAATAACCAGCAGTGAAGCCTCAATCTAGCGCTTTTCTGGCAATTTTGTCCCAAAGTTGCCACATAAAAAACAAACGACTAGTACTGACGCCTACCTTTGGCACTTGTTTGTCGATTACGCACAGGGGTGCCGGTAACTAGCAGGCTGTGAAGATTAACCTTGACACTTGTTTGACGATTTAGGGCCAAGACACCCAGACTCGGTCCAAAAATGGTCAAGTTTGGTTCTACTTTGTCTTTTTCGGGCTGATCCAGACCCCAAATGCCCCAAAAAATACATATTTCGGCATACAGATTCGACAGCGGTCCGCGAACTGCTGTCGAATCTCTGCAAACGTCTGCTCGCTGACATCTGTTTATCACAACACTGAACGCAACTGATAAGAAGCACAGCACATTATTTGTATTCTTGTTTACAACTTTGTTATACAGATACCACAAGAAACGTAATGATGATATATCGCAAACACAATAGCAATAGTTTCAATTGAATTATTAAAAATAACACATTAGGTTATCTTGATAATTATTCGTGTAAAGCAATGCGCAAGCAATTTCTGCCGTACCAACTAAAGTAATACATTATTTTAAAGATAATTGGTAACGATAATTTGCTCATCTAGTAATTGAAATCTATAATACTTTTAAGTAACGAGCGCAGGTCCGCAGGTTGCAAGCCTTTCACCGGAGAGACGCGCCGAAGGTCAGTCACAAAGTGAAGGAAGTAACGAAAACACGGCTTTGTGATAGAAACAAGATGGAAAAGTTCCAAGCCTTTCGTCCACTCAAAGAATAGCGACTTCAAAAGGTCATGCATCAGACGCACCGCAAAGGGGACCAGAATTGGCGAAGACTGAAGTCTGCCCAGGTTGCGAACCTGAGTGTATGAAGGTATTTTTGAAATTCGCGCAAAGCAGAGTCAAAGAAACAGCTGCTTCTTTCGACTCAAAAACAAGTATGATTGCTTTTTAGATATTTTTTACTTATAAAAGGTCAGTTGCTTTCGCGCAACATCTTTTTTTATAACTCTTCTTTGTCGTTTCTGTCTGACAAATATTTTAAACTCACACAACTCTCCTACATAAATTGTCGTAACGTTCCACGGAGTTCGCACAACACAACCCTGCTGGTTCAAGGGAAGATCTAATCCGGTAAAAGCTTTCTTAACTAAAAGTTACCGAGATATTTTGAACTTTAAAATTTTCAAACCGCGAGAATCTCAACTTCTCTTCTGGTTGAAATCTATCCAGCACAGTAGATGAGAATATTAGATCGCCACCTGTCAGTTGCGCTGTGGCTCCGCATGCATAAACATTTCTTTATGTCGGTGTACCTTTTTTCACACTAAGCCGTAGTGATTGACTCTAATGGGGACAATCACTAACTGATAAAAGTGCATCGTTACAAAGCTTGTCGTCTTGCGCTCGCTTTCACCGGCAAGCCCAATCACACACTTTCAATTTGCAGTGATGTCGTGGTTCCTTTTTGTGAGGGATTGATTTCGTTAGTGCTAGCACATGTACAAAGGCGATGAGCGCCATGACGATGCACCTTTTGCGCTGTCTGATTGGCTTTGTCGAATTTACCGCTTGTTGTACTCGGACTTAATGCGAAACGGAGGGTACTGCGATAATGCAGAGACCAAAATCGTCTCTTTGCTTTACAGAGGTTGTGGTGACGTCTGAAAGATGCCGAGCTCTGATTGGCTCTGATAGAAGGGTAGTGGGAAGACCTCAAAGCAAGCTGGCTTCATGTTTACCCACTACCCTTCAATCAGAACCAATCATAGCTCGGCGTTCTTATGTCACCACAACCCCTGAAAAAGAAGCAGACGAACTTGCGCTCTGTATTGCAATGATCAAATGTGCACGTGCAGCTTGCGTAACCGAGAAAGGATAATCCTCCATGGTTACTGGGGTCGAGGTTTTTAAATCAGCACTTAGTTATGTAAATGTTAAATTTATACGCAGAAATCTGTTAGGGGTCGTCCTGTGAAAGGACAGTCCAGGATATGCTTCTTTTTATTTTTTGGGATCTTTGCATTGTGGGAATTGTGATCCCAAAACATTCTGTCGCGTCAGCGTTTCGGCGCCCCGTGGCGGCCGCGCTGACGTTGCGAGAGGTGGCGCTGCTTAGCACTGTAAGTGGTTTCCTCCTCTCCCCCTTTGGAGCGATTTTCGTTACGAATCCTCGCAGAAAGGAGATCGACGTGTCGCTCCTTGATTGGCCCCTTCGCCCCCGCGGTTACCTTAAAACCAGCGGGCAGCAGGATTTCGCTTTCTTCTTCCTGGGATTCGGCGGCGGCGACAACGGGGAACCGTCCGGCGCACCGGTGAGCGTTTACCCCGTCCTTTGTATCTTTGTGAACGGCCGTTCGGCCGTGGGCGATCTCCACACCGAAGGCGTTCACCAGCTGATAGCCGCTGTCTTCTTGTTATTTGTTTCGTTTTTAATAAACAGAGATTATCACCGTGACCAACGTGGCTGGTGTCTGATTGCGCTCAACGAGCAGCATGCCACGCTAGTACGAACCCCTTTCGCGGTAGAGTGTCTCGCCGCGAACGTGGTACTCCCAAAGGCAGTGGCCGTAAAGAGAACCACAGCATCTATATGAGGATTCACAATTGTGGTTTGCCGATATGAAAACATGGCCTCTAATATACTTGATCCGAAATTGAACTCGCACATCTGAAAAAAGAAAACTGGGAATCGACCAAACAGTGACGTGTCACTGGGTTGATGAAGTGCCCACGCCATTAAAATTAGAGAAGGCAATTTACGTTATGGCTGTATGTACAGTACTATTTATGGCAATTGAAGATGCCGTAAAGCCAAGCTCTGATAATAATGTCATAAATCTATATAGTCTTTATTGTGTAGCCAATGATTTTTCCTGAAGTTTAGACCCACTGTATTAAAAAACGTATGCACTCTTTAACCCATCTCTTGTCACATTAAATAAAACGCCAAATCACATAGAAAAAACATATTTAATTAAGAACCCACAGGTCAATTTGATGTTTGGCCACGTTTGTTTTTTATACTTTTCTTGTCAAACGGCAAATAAGGTGGGTTTGTTTTCTTCCATCTGTATTTAATAATTTTGAGATTTCTAATATTTAAAATATATAAATGAATTCCTTGTGATTGCCTGAAGCTGAGCAGGTTGGTTATTCATACTTGCAGATACGCCAGCTGTTTGGAGGAAGAAAAATGCAAAACAAAGTTTTGCATTTTTCTTCCTCCGTTTAGCTGGCGTATCTACATGTAAAAGATAAATGAAGCACGCAGTGCCAACTACATTTAATATGTTGTACATTTATAATATGTGTAGCGTATGTTAAGGAATATTGTCTCTAACACCTTAACGCCCGTTCACACTCTTGCGACCGAGTACGACTGAGAGAGACGAGATCTCTTAAAACTTCCTAAATGTTTTTAGGATGAGGGAACTCACTGGCATTGTGGCGCCATTTATGCGGTGAGCCTGGAACTGCATCTCACAAGAGCGAAGGTTTTGCGGGATTTCCGAGGCCAAATGTGCGTAATACCCATAAAAAGGCTCGTTTATAACATAGACAAAAGTTCTTCGAGCCAAGAAAAAAAAGGATAATGCGGAAGAAATAAAAAAATATGCCGGACCGCCGAGTTTACACTGCTTAACAATAGATGGCGCCAGTGTGTTTTCTGGTTTAAGAAGTTTTAAGGAACCCAGGCTTAAGTGGTCGCAAGAGTGTGAACGGGCCTTTAAACTTAGAAAATAAAACTGCTTAATTTTAAGGTTTTTTCTATGGGTTCTTATATGCCATTTTATTATATGGGCTCTATGGATGCTTGTCTTTTTTCCATTAGGGCATAGTTTCATACGCACATACTTCAATCATAATAAAGTCAACGTTATCTGCGCATGTAGTTGTATCAGCTTTTTGACGGCTGGCTTGATATATATATTTCTATGTATTTTATTTAAAAACTTATATTATTCCTTACAGTGAATATAATAGGCCGACGACATTTATATGCTTTATATTGATATTACGTGTAGAAAAGAAAGAATATTTGTAGGCGTCGACTAACTAGTGGCGTTCAATGATCATGTTTGTGTGTGTAAATCTAGTGTAAGTTCTTGTTGAAAGCCCGAACACTTTCATAGACGAAAATGAGAATTAACGACATAAAATCATATGCCAACACTTGCTTTCAGTGAGATGCAGTACTAACTGTGATAACTTGCACAATCATTTTCGCAGCAGGAATGAGTACAATCGTTCTATTGGCCGTGATCGCCTTGGGAGGTGTGTCACTGATGATGGGAGACGATAATCTCCATCATCAATATGGAGTTTCTTTTGGGAAAGGTAGTGCATATTTTCACCTATTCTTTGTGCGGTTTAATGTGTGGAACTATTAGTTATTCATACCACATTTAAACTGTCGTAGTTTCTTATTTGATTAATAATTCATATATTAATTTTTTTTGTTTATTGATTACAGTACCTCCAGGCCCCAAATGCATTTTCTGTATTGGGATGGGAAGGAAATTTGTAGTAAGGATTCGAAAAATATAAGCTAGATCTATGAACCAAATAAAAAGAATTGAAGCAACAAATAAAAATAATTTGAAACCTTTTAGAGGATGATAGAATACCGTGATGAGTGTCAACCACTATATTATACAGTGCTAAAAACAGTGATCGTACAATCATGTAAAAACCGACGCACCCTTTGCACTTACTTTTTCGTCCTCTCTTTCCTTTGACAAATTCTCTTCCTAATTTATACCAAACCCCCCCCCCCCCCAAAAAAAAAATAATTATCTCGACTGTGAAGGGTTTGCTTTCGTCCTACCTGTAAATAGAGCTCGCATAAGCCATATTCGTTCTTTCTTGATTTCTTTTGCTGTTATCTGCCAGGATATGTTATGGCCTGCAACTACGTGTAATTGGGAAGAGAGACAGATATCTTTTGTAAGCAATGCTGAATATTTGTTTCTCTATTGATTGCAGTCATCAGTTAATGCGAGAGTGGATGGGAACTGAAATTGAAGATTGCAAACTGCGGGTGTTTTATGAGTGCGCTTGTCACTTTCACAGCAGCCGATTTTTGATGCATGACTACATATTCAAAATAAAATCATTTATGCCGGCAGTAAACAACCCAAAGCCAAAAGACTTACTTAAGATACTTGGAATCCATCAGACCTATTCAATCATAACAGCGTAGGCTGTGAGCTTAGTTTTCTTTTTGCCATATTTTTATATTTTATTCCAAATAGTGGCATGTAAGCTAACTACATAGAGCAGATTTTTCGTTGTTCGCCTATTTACCTCGTATTTCCAGAGCCAAACCACAGGAGCAATCGGTTTGCTCTGCAATTGATTCCTGCCCAGCGACAGACACGGACTCTGCGTAGGTGCTACCAGAAGTATTCAAATATGATCTCCCCCTCAGTACCATACTGGGGGCCTGAGAGCGGCATACGATTTTTTGTGAAGACATTGAGCTCCTTCAGAATCGAAGGTTTTTAGGCGAAACTCTGGCGGCATGGTGCATGGAGGCTTCAGGGAGGCATCCTCGCAGTTTTTCCTACAAGCTTCCACTACGGTCAAACTTCGTCTGGATTTCACGAGACTATGCCTATGTCATTTATCGGTAACAGGTCCCGAACAATTTCTCTTCCGCCCTAGAGTAACTCCCCAAAGAACAGTTTTTTGTAAAAAAAACTTTGATATTTGTCTGATAATTCAGAACCTCAAAGAGTGAGGACACAGAAATTAAACGGGTGGATCATTCTTGAAATGGAATGCTTATTAGCTACCTAATATTTACACCTCGTGTCATCATAATTTATTCAAACAATCAAGTAACTAGTGGGTATCATTTTCATGTGATCACCAGGCAACAATCTCTAATCACGCCATCGTGCCTATAAACCACGTAAAGTAATTTAAATCAAACTAATCTGAATCAAAGAAGATACATCTGACTAAAATCAAACGCCATCTGATTTTATATAAAATGAAATAAAAAAAAAAATTCTACCCTGGAGGAAACTGAAACTCGAGATACTGAGAGAGTCAAGTGTGCGATTGCACGAAGTGCATGTGCCGCGTTGGGGGGGTGACATCACCCACCCGCCAATCATGGCACCATTTACCAGTAAAACAAATGCAAAAGTCTCCCCCCCCCCCAAAAAAAAATATAAAGAATCCTTTTATCCATAAAAGATTAGCGCCATTTACAAATCAACTTTATCAAAAATATATAAGCGTACACTGGGTCTTAGCCATACAGTAATTTGATATTTTATTATTGGCATATCCTAACCTCTTTAGAAAGCCTCGAGTAGAGTTCAGGTAAAGCGGAACATCGCCTCCTCCGGCCAGAGTATGGATCGCTTGGCCTTAATTCGTCAATCAAGTGCCAAAGATAGGCTTCACTGTTGGTAGTTTTGCTGTCCTCTTGTTTCAGCTCAAGTACAGACGCAGCCGACGCTACGAAGCAATGGAACCCATCAACTAACGTCGAAAGCGCAAGTCACTGGGCCGTTCTTTTTCATGAGTGGTCCAGCGACGGCATGACACGTACGAACACCAGGATGGCGCGCTTTTGACTCGCTCTGATTGGTCGCGTCGATTTGCAGCGTCAACTGCGTCTGGGCTCAAACGAACCGTAGCACTTTCGGGCCTGAATCGATGGACATGTGCGAGTTAGGCCTTAGTTCTCGTTGTTTTGTGGTCCCGTGGCAACTTTCGCCCTTAATTGACAAACAAGGACGAAGGCTTCGCAGCTTTTTTTTCTGGGCTCAAATCTGGCTATTTGGCAATTATGTAGCGAGACAGGGGATAGCCGTAGACACGCCCGCCAAAAATGGCGGACTTTTTAAATGGGGCATATCCGAGGTTCCCGCAAACAAATCGATTATTCCACAAAATAATCGCGCCATTTACAAAACACCTTTATAAAAAAAAATATATGTGGCAGCATATCATGGGTCCTATTCATATAGTTAATTCATATAAATTTTGCGGTGTCCTAACCCCCTTAAAAAGCCTCAAGTAGCGACGCAGAACCGAACGCCACAATCTATGGCTAGAACATGTGTATATTTCACTTCGTTCGCCGAACAAGTGCCAAAGTAATGCTCCTTTTGTGGTAGTTTTGCTGACACATAGCATCTGTGGGCCTGAATCGACGAACTGGTGTGAGTTAGGGCCTCACTTTTGATTGGTCAGTTTTAATGTGGCAACTTTTTCCGTTGATTGCCAAAACAACTCCCATATTTACGCTTCGTGTCTTTTTGGCTCAAGTCTCATTTCAGCAATTATGTGGCTAGACAGAGAGTAGATAACAAAAAAACACAAAAAAGCGATCTGGCATTTGATCACGGCTTGGAGCGAAGCCCTATTGGGCCCAATTTTGACATGTAGGATTGCCAAGCTTTTTCCAAGTTAGGTGCTTCCCTCGCATGCTACATGGATTGTCGTCCTTTCCCAAATTAAATTTAAATTAACAAAAAAAGAAGAGAGAACGAGAGACAGATAGAGAGAAAGAGAGAGGCCACCACTAGAGTTTCTGAAAGCTTATTATCTTCACGTTTCTATGTCTGTAATTCATTCTTCGGCATCTGTATCGGCTAAACACGCGGTATCATTTGCTGATGAACGATAATTATGCGTTCCGGACGTACCACGCACTGCGCTTAAGCTATCAGTCACGACAGTCAACGAGAAAGTGGTTTCAGAAACGACCCATAAGATAGACTTAAGACTTAGAATATTCGGAGATCAAGTAGTCCTTTTCTACGTGTTACAGTTTCGTACTTGGAACCGGTTTCTTGCTTCCTCGGTTCACTCCTACGCCCCTCAAACTGGTGCGGAGGGCCATCTATGAGTGCTATGGGTGGAATCCAGCGAAAAGTCAAGACTCTTGAGCGCTGATACGAGGTTCTAGGAGAATGTATTAGAACGACAATGCTAGATGAAGTCGGCTTTAGAAAGCGTGACCACTTGTCTTGAGAACCATTTGAGATATATTATTGAAATTTGCGTGGATACCTTGTTCTTGCTTACTTCACAACATGACGAAGAGGGCATATCTACATAAAGAAATATCCGGCGCTGTGCCCGTGATGTATCCATAAAATCGGTAACCAATAATATGCCTGAGCTTCATGAGAACAGTATATACGCCAAAAATATTTAAAGCAAAAAACTATAGAAACAAAACACACACACACCAACGTTTATTTACTTTACTCCTACATTAACTGGCTGGGTCGACTATCTCGAAGACGCCAACATTTTCTCCAGTACACCAGGCAATGGTTTCTCCTTTTTCTAAAACTTTGAAGCGACGTCGTAAAAGCATTCCCGGTGTTGTTTGTAGTGCTGCTTTTTTGCACAGCCGTCATTTTAAGGAGCGCCTGTTTGTTTCCAGTTTCAATGTTCATTTTACAACACCTCTCGTGCCACTTAGGGTGCCTCTAATAAATTCGCAAAACGTGAGAACGTTTCGAGGAGAACGTTCAAGACGCAGACGTAGCACCACAAAAGGTTGCCCCTTTCGCTTCTCCTCCCCCCGCCAAGAGGATCATATCACACACAACCTTTTCTGCACCGGCCACATTCGAGGGATGCGACAACACAGTGTTCCAAGAACGCCATAAGCGTTTTCGTTTTTGTTCAGTTTTTAGAACAAATTTGTGATTGTTGCAGATTGTTAAGTACGGAATGGGGACCTAGCTAGATTTACACAGATGACTAAAGGCTAAGAAGTAGTAGTTATAATATGAACGTTCATGTATAATTATGTTTTAACCTATTCTTTCACCGTTTATCGTGCAGGTAAATGCAACTACCGCAACCAAACACTCAGAAATGGACGCTATACAACATCAAAGGTCCCTTGTGAGCTCTGGCTTTGTAATGTAACAGACAAAACACTAACAGTTATAGGGTTTGTAATTTTTATTCTTACTGTTTGCAGGAAGCCTTATGATAAAACCGTAGCTGTTAATTTATTATAATGCGGTCGAATGACTAATTTTTTTATATCTTGACTAAACTGACGGTTGGTTTTGTCATGGTAAGTTAATCCTTTCGAATATGTAAATACCAATAACTATGTGACAATGGCTGAAAAAAAAAAGGTAACCTTTTTTTCCTCCTGAATTTTGTTGCATCAGCAAGAACTATCTGTAATCACTTTCAGGTTATCGATAAAAATGGCTGATTTGCTAGTAGCAGCACTAGCGAATAGGTGTTTTGTTACAATCAAAATAAACAATTGAATTCAATTGAATTCTCATAACGGAAATAGATGTTTACACATTGTTTACCTTTTAATGCGAATACATTACCTGCCCCATGGGGCGCAGCCGACGTTGGCAGTGATCGCGAAAAACGGGCATCTAAATAAACGGCAGTTAAAATGACTGTGAAGCGTTCCATTGGCTGTGACGCGTCATATCAGATGCTTCGTCCCGGAAGTCAGCGGCGGACTCAAGGTCAAAGCGGACGCACCTAAAAAAGAAAACACAAAGAAAAGCACAGCAACATAGATACACCGTCAGGGAAGGCGTGGAGCCGGCAGATTTGACCGCGCATGCGCAGTGGGGGAGTGTGATGTCACCGCCGGAGCGCCATGTCCAATAGGAAGACACGGCGCTGTGTTTGTAGGAATCCGCTGCTTGTATGAATGCGATCGCATTCCTCCACGTAAGCAGTCTTAAGTGTTATTCCTTCAAGAAATAAACATTTCCTGTTCTACGGGAATTTATTCGCTTTTAAAAGAGACCTTCAAGAATAAATTACGTACCTAACCAATTCACATCTCGTCCGCCCTCTTTCATTGGATATCTTAGCTGTGATACGCAGGTGGTAGTTAAAGATGATCGAGAAATAAGTTAAACACTTTACACTTTGAAAGTCGTATTTTATAACCAACTGAGTGGCGGAAAACAAATGCTGCAGTGCGTCCTGGAATTATCCACAATATTTTGGCGAACCCAAAAAGTGGAATAACATTTCTATATAAAAGCTTAAACATAAGCACAATTAACTAATGTATGGTTGGAGTTGTACATGTGCACACAGGGTATTTATAAAAAAAAACTTTTTTTTGTTTTGTCTTTTTGTCAAGTGTCTTAACTTTGGTGCAGAGCCACACCGTACACTCATATTTGTATAAGTATATTATACAGTAAATTTCAAATTGACATTAATAAAAAATAAGAATGTTTATGCATTATTAAAAGAACGCTTAATTTGTAGGGGTATTTATTCACATTCATCTTTACAATACGTTATTTTATTCATGCCCGTTTCTAAATACATTGGGTTATAGAAGATGGAAATTTGGACCAGTTGGTTCAATATCGAGGGGAGGCACCGAAAAAAACACAAGGACGAGAAAAGACGTAAACACTGGCGCCAGCGTTTAGGCCTTTTCTTTTCCTTGTATTTTTTCGGCGCCTGTCCTCTATCGGGGCTATAGAAGTCCAACATTTAAATACCAAAATGTGCACTTCACTTTTTCCTAGCTTAGGCAGACTAATCGTTTAGATTTTTACACATCGTGATACATTCCGGGAAATCATTGTAATCGTTGCACTTATTATGGAACTTTAGAAAGTGGGCGAACTTGAAATGTATACAAAAACACTCAAACACTGTGAAATAGAAAGGACAGGCAAACACAGAGGCCACTGTGTTTGTGTGTGCTTTATTTTTTGCAGTCTCGGTTGATTTTTACAATGTTCAACTACCACCAGCTTGTTTGCGGCCTAACCTTATAGTCATTAAAATATATATTCGGGCTCGGGTTTCAAAAAATATATCTTTCATTTTATTCCTTTAGGTGCAATGTCAGAGCCTATGGAAGTTGCATCCACGTGCACGACTCTCGTTTATTCTGGCCATTTTGCTGTCCGGGTAGTCCCATCTGCTAACGTAATTTCGAAGTTAATCGAAGTTACCACTTTTGCGAATAAAATTGTTTTCCTACAATTTTGACAATCAACTCGCTCCGCTTTCTTATAGGGACACTGACACTCTCCAAATTTGTTTATCAATTTCCTGCAAGGCGATTTATTTCAGTGTCAGAAGATTACGCAATCAATATCTTGTTACGGTGTCACGTATATTCTTAATAAAGTCATAAAATGCAACTCTTCGAGACCGAAACCGAACCTGGACTAGGGATGGTGGGAAAATATAGATGAGTATGATACCGGAAATCATGTAACTGCGCAACTTTTTTTTTAATCAACGTATATGCACTTTTGTGCGGCTTTTAGAAGCTTCAAAAATGGATATCACATTTTTTATCCCTTTCTAGTATAGAGTGTGTATCTTCGATGACCCACCACTTTGATTATCTTTGGTGGTTATGTCTAAATCATAGAAAACGGTACCTGGCCAATAAGAAGAGAGAGAGAGTGTCTCAACCGGCCAGTTCTCGACTGCTGTTTTCGAGAGGAAAAAAAACGAATTTCAAGCCTCAAATTGTGTCCTGGGTAGTTGGGCTCTCATATGTCATGTACAAATAAAAACCTTCAAAGCATAAATACTCCCGTCAGTGTCCGTTTAAGTTCCAACTTCATAACATTAATGAAGAATAAAATGGGTAATCCGATAACCACTTCATTGCTCCTATAAAGGTTTTTTTTTTATTTTAATCTCTACATTCCTCATTTAAATCAGATGTGGAACCAGGCACGTAGCCAGGGGGGGGGGGGGGCGGGGGCATGGGGCCCGGGCTCCCCCCCCCCCCTGTCGAAATCGTCCATTTCGCTGGGACCTCCTCTCCCCCCTGCCCCCCTACATAATTTTGTCATGGGTGCCCCCCCCCCCCCCCCCCTTCGGAACAAAATCTTGGCTACGTGCCTGTGTGGAACTAGTGCCTAACACGCACAAGCTGCTTCAACTGTTGCATATGCTCAAAACATGACCTAGAGAGGCTATTGGCCTGTCGAGAACTCGGCAACTGATAATAATGTATCCCATGGTAGTCATAAGCATTTTTCGCGTTATCCATATGCTTTCTTTTTTTTTCTCTCAATTTGTTGAAAAGTGTGTATAATGGGACTTAAACTAAACCAAAGCTCTTGCAGAGGTCAACAAATAAATCACAAAAGCACAAATGGCTCTCATATCGTCTGCTATAGTTAATCTAACACGGCTTTAGGGCTTCTATTGTGATCAACAATTTCGCATACAAAAAGCCCAGGCTAATTTATTTCTTCGGGTGCGCAACGGACTGTATCAGGTGCTCCGCTTAAACACATACTTGCCCTCTGAGCAAACCTACCCTCGAATAATGATGATGATCCGCTGGGTCATTAACGGCGCTGTTTTGTCTGTGACGAGCGAGACAAGAGAGGATGGCAGTGCGCCGTTCTACTGCAAACACCACCGTTCAACCCACGTCCTTTCTTTAGTAAAGGGCAGCAATGAAGCTTTTGCACGGCCTGACTTTCGCCAGCGTCATGGTGACCGTATTGCTTGATTGCGGGACTATTCGAAAACGAAAAGGTGAGCTTTTGAACCTTGAACACTCTGGTGTCTAAAAATAAAACTTGGCTTTACATCCCACAGTCTTAAAGTGGAGGCGATATGATATATGTTCAGCATCACGGTAAACCCCGTGGCTGGGTTGAAAAAGGGTGCAAACAGTTGATGAATAGAAAAAAAAAATGGAGGCAAACAACAAAACTCACACACTGTTTATGGTTTTCTTAATGTGTAATGCACATAAAGGGCATATATTCTTCAAAGAAGAAGGATGCGTGAAGGGACGCTGAAGTGAAAAATATAAGTTTTTTTATGCATTTTATAATTTTATTTGTAAATGTTCCACAAAAAAAATTGTTGCAGCGATATTTACGTCGTTGCACGCAATTTAAGGAGGGTAGACCTGCCCGGTGCTTACGAAACTAAGCACCTTTTCTTGGCTCTCGTTGGTTGGAGAGATGATTGATGTGTGAAATACTGGTTGTAAAACTGTCTGTTTGTGCAGTAATAGTATTTTAAATGACAATAGTTTTGTTTGAGAAAAAAAAATAGGTAGAGTCTTACTCTTTTCAAAAATATCCCGATATTTCCTTTCCGCTTCGGTTTCAAACAACGTTACTAAAACACTCAGTTGGGAAACTCGCCGTCGAAACCTGGGCCGCTTACGTCCACCGAGACCGAGCTAAATACGACCACAGCGCCGCTCTTTATCATTTGTCTGTACTGTGGTCACCTTGAGCTTTTAGAAAGCATGTTTTTGTGAAAAAACAAACGGAAAAGACTCTTTTTGTAGTAACTTTTATTGGAGTCTAGTACAAAATGAAGGGCGCGTGATGTTTTTAAAATCTTTAGTTTGCAAGGTTTTGCAGCACAATTAATATTGTTTTTATACATCCATGCCTCAGCGGTGCTTTTAGGTAGCGCGTCCCGACCTGGGTGTATTTTAACTTCGGTAGTTAAAATTTAGTTTAAATTTAAAATTTAAATAGTTAAGATCCATTTTGGCTCTGATCACACAAATGGCCGATCAGAGCCAAAATGGAAGTAATGTGCGCTTCCTCGATTTGCCGTTGCGGGAGAAATGGCGGCGTTGTGTTCGCCATTAGCTCGGTTCGCGAGGACAGATCGGGGTCACTTTCTCAGAGCAGTCTCTGTGGCAGTTTCCCAACTGATTGGTTTAGTAACGTTGGTCTCAAACGATAACAAACATGGCTGGCGACGTCTGCGGAGTGATCAACGAGAGCAACTTGTCGAGATCATCTATCTTAATGAGTGCGAGTCGTTTTGCGTTCACCGAGGTGTTTAGACGAAGATCCTTTCGACCGATCAAGTTTGCAGCACATAGCTGTCGCAAGTACAGGCCTTTGGACGCGCTGTTGACGCTGTGCCGGTGCTTGGGTTCGTAGCGGGTGGTAGCGGGACTGGCCTAAGCCTAGCTTCCCACTTCAACTATAGGGTGGTCCAAGTCACCAGGCTCGATCTAAAATGGACCGTAAAATTCGACGCCTGCACGTAGCAATCTAAACTTTTTGCCAAAGATGTATTTCACAGGTCAGTTCTTTTGTGTGTGTGTGTAAAATTACAAAGCGCAGCTCTTATTCTGTAGAAAAAAAAAAGCGAAAAAACTTGCCAGGGTCTACGGCGGGCAGCGACGCAGACGGCAGGGGTCCAGCAGCGAGGTGTGTTTGGCGTTCGTATTGATTATCCCGGACTTTAATAATTTTCCTGAATGGGCCCCTGGCCCAGGAGCAAAACGCCACACGCCTTTTTTTGTTGCGATGAGTAGTTTTCGCAGGAGCGATTTGGCCTGAGTTCCGTAGAACACCCTGTATATATATATATATATATATATATATATATATATATACATATACTACGATACACTACGAGTCCTTGGGCCTCAGCACATTGTCTAAGTTGCTTTTCTTTGTTGTGAAGGAAGACAATTCCTAAGGAAAAATTGATAGTCAGCTTTGTGTGTGTGACTTGTCCACTGTAATCGTTTAGTGTACAATCTGTTTTCCCCACCATCAGTAACCATCTAAGCTCAAACCGGAAAGTCACATGATGTAATATCACGAGGTCTCGCAGTGCCAGATTAACACCATCTGCTAGAAGCAGCGGGACGTAGCTCGGTGAAATTTAAACACGGCCGAGTAGTAACTGTGTACAGCATCTCGGCAGAGGTCTAAGATCTTAACTTCAAAGCAACATTGACCCGACACTGGGGCGGGATATTTGTATCCTTTGTTCATGTTGTCTAATGGTTCGAATAAAATGTACGTGGCTGTAACCAAAAATCAAAAATAGGACAATATTATATAAATCTATGCTATTAAACTATGCCTGCGTTTTTTTTTTGTTTTTTTTTTTTTGCATCGAGTAATTCGCAAAAGCTTCCTGCAGCGCTTTAGTTTGTTTGTTTTTTAGTGGGGGGGAGTGGCGGGCGAAGATTTATTAGCGACTGAAGAAACGTGTTCACCATTGCAGTGTCTGGAAGGGACCTGTTTCGAGCTAAGACCAATTTTGGTAAGTTGGTTCGCGAATGTAAAAGGGAGGTTGACCAACTGATACGGGTCTTGCCGACGGATGATTTCGGAAGGGTAAGTACGTTTTTCTAGTGCTTTGGAACGTGAAAATTTTGCGCTGTTGTAGAATTTCGAATAAATAATGTGGTACGAAACCTAAAAAAAACAAGACGGAAAACAATTATTTTTATGGTTTTAAAAGGGTCGGGACACGCAAAATATAAATCTGAGATAACTATACTAGCAAACCCATTCGGTAGTACTACATTCGATCAAAATTGTTTAAATAATACGAAATACTTTTAGGGTAAAATCGACTTATTTGTTGTGCTGTACTTTTGAATGTGGAGCCGGTTCAAGAAATCCGCCATGCTTGAAAAGTAAAACGTGGCGGACTCCCAGACTTGGTTATTGTGGCTATAGGGGTAGGTGTACCTAGAGTCACTAAATGAGCTGCGCTTAGAGTATCGGCACTCCGTTCCCCGACTTTGTTACGGGCGCCGCCATTTTGGTGCTTGTGCAAAACAGACGGAACTGCCAATCGTCATGATTCAAAAGTGCGAATTTCTCAGCAGTATATTGAGCGTTAGGAAGCTCATGTAATATTGCTTTTCTTTGTCGCCAACTGTTTTAACATTTGTGGAGGACGGAAAAGCGTTTATTGCGATTTCAAATAAAGCTTAAGATAACTGGCCACCATAATTTTAAGCCGCAATGTGGCAAATTGTCGTTACTTTGAAGCGTAGCTTATTTAGTGGCACTCTATCTAACGAGCGCTCCGCATTCTTGGGTAGTTCCACGTGTCGCTTTTTCATGACGAAAAAGTGGCGCTGTAGACAGGATACCGGTGTCGGTAGAGCTTTAGATACCGGTAAAGCCCCTTCATGTTTCATAAGTAGGGCAAGGTGCGTCGATGCACGAGGCACATGCAATGTGCAGCCCTTGGGAAGATCATGGAGGCACAGCGCAGCTTTGAGCTAAATTTCAGACGTGATGTTCTTCCCACAAGTGGCGCG